ACCCTACTAGAACTTAGTATGTATTATGTGAACTCAAGCCGGAGGGCTTATAACACTGGAATTGCTCTGTGGTTTAGCCCTCATGCTTTACTGACTGTCTGTGCAGATCCAGCTGAACTTAATGTTTGCTTGGTGCATGCTTATTTTTGGTGCAAAACTGTCTTTGTGGATTGCACGCTGGGAGAACTCCTGAGCAAGAGTTCAGCAGAGCTTGCGCCCACACTGCACGTTGTCTTTGTCTAGGTGCTGTGTCTTCTTCTGCATTTAAATAAAGTATTTTAGGGGGTTAGGAGCCCCAGGAGACACAGAGGAAACCCGCAGGATTCAATCACCAGATTAGTGATGGGAGACCACCAGGAGATGCTAGGACTATGGATTTGGTTAAAAAAAATCCCATTCAAGGCAGCAGAAAAATATTGCGCAGCCAAAAAAGAATGACTTGGATGTGTTAATGTAGTCAGTAGGAGTTATATACCTTTACCACTTAATGCTGGACATGTTGGTAAACACTGAGCAATCATGTGTTTCTCTAGAAGCAACTGTGTGTTACAGTTCTGACGAACCTACACTTTAAACCCGCCTTCCTCAGTCTGGTGCTCTCCGGAGATGATGGCCATACCAGGGGTGAATTATGTGGGTTGAAGGCCAAAGCATCTGGAGGCCAAGGTTGGAGAAAGAGGCTCTGCAAATATTATCTGTGATATAAATTTGCTTCTTGATACATACAACCTCTGGATCTTTCCCGCACTCCGAACAGAGGAACCCTTGTCTCTAATCGGTAGCTGCAAGATCTTATTTCATGCTTAAGTTTTCCAATGGGAGGGGGTATCACTTTGCGTGTGTATTATAATGGAATAGGCGTGTTTCATGGTGGGGCGGGAGAAGTGCCCCCCTGTTCCGTAAAGCTGAAAGTTTCCTTTTGCTTTCTGCCCGATGATTGCTCATCTTTTTCTCTCTAGTACATCTGCTGTGTCAGCCATGTGGTTAGCCTCCAAATCGCTACTTACATAATTTGTGCATCAAGACACGGAAAGGTGAAGGAGTGCATAAGGCAAAAATGGTTGTCTCTTCTTTCAAGGGCCTGATCTCGCTTGGAGATGAACGTGTCCCTCAGTTTGGGTTCGGTTTGGGTTTGAGTTTGGCCTGGATCCCACCTTACGTGGGTGCTTGTGCTACCTTGACTTCAAAACAGTCTAGCCCGGCTAGACTGGATTCAAACATTGCACAAAGCCAGAAAGGAGTTTGTTTGCACGATGTGTAAACTTGGCCGTGGGCGTTTGTACACGTGGTGGTGTAGAAAGCATGGTTCAGGGCTTAGCGTAGGGTTGAACCCTCCACAAATCACGGGGAAGAAGAAAAGAGTGGCTTGTTTTGATGTGGGAACCGGGGCAGGGGTACACGAAACTGGTGATGGGAGAATTTTGGTGTGTTGTTCACAGGTATGTTTTCAGACCACATCTCTGAAGGCTGAGAGAGTTGAAGACAACCGGGCTTTGTCTGAACTTGCTGCTCTCCTTTCTTGTGGATGAAAAGCAATTTCATAGAAGATGTTTGTGCACGTCCTTTGTGTACGCCTGCTTGGCAAACTCAGTTTTGACAGTGTGTTTTGGGATGAGCACAATTTTTCTTTCCTTAAAGGGAATTTGCCTGGGGCAGGTGGCCAATATAAAATGGTTGCTGATACTCTCTGGCTTGTAACAGTGCCTTTGTGGGCTGTCTGTGCAAAGTGACAGTGGCACCGATGAGGCACACTCAGGCCTTTCGCATTCCGAAGACCGAGGGTTTTATTAAACCGTGGCTTCAAGCCAACGGGAACTTTTGGTTTGTTTGACTTGCTTGATTGGGAATGGATCGAGGAGGTTAGCCAGTGTTGCTGAACATTCCACTGTTAAAGAGGTATAAAAAGAGAAGTCTGAACAAAACTAACTGAAAAAGAAGAGAGGAAAAAAAAAATACCTAGCAGAACAAAACGAAATCCAAGGTTTTGAGATTTCCCTAGTGTTCTTCAGAATAAAAGACTTAATCATGCATTTATACAAATTATTGCAATCCCAATTTTCATTATAATTTTAAAAATGGAATTTTTAATTGTTTTTTTTTTGGATTTTAATTTTTGTCTCCATGATATAATTGTTTTTATTCTGTTTGTTGTTGTTCGCCTCCAAGAGTCACTTGTTATGATGGGTGGCTTTACAAATTGATTAAAGAAATAAAGAAATTCAAGTTTTGGTTGAGTTCCGCTTAGATCACACAGAATTGTATTGTCTGATCTTGCCCCTCTCTCAAAACAAGCTAATCCAAGGGCTGAGAGTTGACAAATTACTGACCCATAAATCATGGTTTACAAGCTGCAGTGGCTGCATTCATCTCTTACACTAAACCTGTGTTTTGACATAGTAAAGTTGTTTGAACCAAAGATTTGACTTTGCAAATGGTAAGCATTGGATCTCTTTGGTTTGGGGGAAAACATTGCTGAGTTACAGACAGTTCTATTCAAACAGGAAAAATATACTTGGTGCAGGTATTGGCAAATAAGCAGATAATGGCCCAAACACAGTATTTTTTTTTTTTAACAAGGAAGCAGAGTGAGTGAGTTTTATTTTATTGCTCAGGAAAATGGGGAGGAAATGCTTTTGTGATGGGCCACCAATACAGCTTGGGCTCCTTGAGGAAAAAGTTGAAAAAGTGTGTGACATCTGAAGATGATGCTAAGGGAAGTGTGCAGGGTGGGGGCACACAGATATGTTAGGCGGGGAGTAACATGGATGTCCTTAAGCAAATCTGCCTAGCACCCCCAACCCAGGAGCAGTTTGCAAAGGTAGCTTAAACCCTGGAAAGAGAATTGGTTCGCACTCTTATCAGGCTGGGCCATTCCTCATTTTTATTCTGTCATTAGTTCAGCCGAGAAAACGTTTTGGCCCAGCTACTGTATTTGAAATCTTCTTGGGTTTTTCTTCTTTTTTGTTTTTTATTTTTTGCATTTCTGCCTCTTTCTCTTTTTATATGTTTCTGGGTCTATTTTTGATTAGGTTTCCCATGCTGACGCTTTCAGTGTTAGACAGCGTCTTGCAGCCTTTCCCGTTCAAATGCTAGACAAAGAGAGGGAGACAAAGGGGGTTCACACATTGTGCCAAGCCGCAACACGGGTTGCATGGTTTGGGCTTTTAGTCTTGTGTGTACAGGCTATTGCATTTTGCAAACCAAGGCTCATAGCTTATTGTGGTGTGAGAACGCAGCCTTGGGTGTGCAAACCGTGGCTTCATGCAGTAGCAGAGTTTGGGGGTTACCTGTAAGCTTGGAAATGAGAATTGGCTTAATCAGTGGAACAAATCGTCCTCTTCTTCACTGGAAGAGAGCTACCTGCCAGTATAGGTGGAGAAGCTCTCAGTGCTTAGATATCTACGCAGAACTCCTCTGGGGCAAGTGGGATCTTGAATGCGTGGGACGGGTTAGGAGCCATCAATGCGCCATAGAGAAAAATGGCTTTCAAGTGCTTCTAGCTGTGGAAACGTCAGATGCCCGGAACTGGTCATCAGCAGGCGACCAAGTTAAATGAATAACCCAACCTCCAACCTCTTTTCTGTCTGCTCCCTGGATGCAACATTGGGGAAGAGAAGGTTCTGTCTCCTTTTGAGTAAATAGGCGTAGGGTTGCACTGTTCAGAAGGAGAGCCACATTGGAACTTCAACTCATTCATTAATTCCAATTTGCTCCTGTTGATGAGGAGTGCTCCGACTGGATTCGTCTTCAGTTGCAGTCTAGCTAAGGGAAGGAAACTTGTTCGGCCTCATATCCTTCCCTAGGATAACTTGCAGGCTTGTACCATGGAGAGGGGCCTGAAAAAAGGCAATGGTATGAACGAATGGCCCCTCCTGATTAATAAAGATATAAGGAGGGCACTAGATTACAGTAACCAGCATTCCCTCATGTTTCTGATGTGACTGCTAGGAGTCAAACCAGCAGGATGCAAGTTTAAGTAGAGCAATGTTTCTCAACCTTGGGGCCTTTAAGATGCGTGGAGTGCAACTCCCAGAATTCCCCAGCCAGCCATGGGA